TGGAGAAACCTTTACTTTTTTACTGTAGCAGATATCTATTCACTTTCAAATTATTTCACAGAGAAATTGCTTATTACCCCAAAGCAATTGTATCAATATGATTAACGTCTTGGCCAATCTCCTGTAATAAAAAAATAGATTATAATTGGTAGACATGCCAGGGAACAAAGATATACAACAATATACTTACATAATCATTTTCATCTTCTCTTTCAACAGAGAACTGCTACAGACATTTCTTCCATTATCCTGTTTAGGGAATAAATCTGCTAATATTTCAACCAACTTTTGCAACTTTCAGTACAGTAACACCTTGGTAAGAAAGCATTAATGTGCAATAATGTTTACGAAAAGTCTTAGCACAAGGGCTGTGCCCAAATATTGGAAGGCTGGACATCTGAAATCTTTCCTTCTCTCCCTGAAACCTTCTGGATTTTCCTGGTTTGGCCAGCTTCTTCCTTTGAGGTAATGTCTTAATAGTTCTCTCTTGTCCATTTGTCTCACCTGGTGTATGAGAAAAACCTGCATTGCCTTTCTGCAAATGAGAATATTAGGTGAAATACAGAAAGTCAGACAATGCAACAAGGAAAATAAATTGATAATTTGATACAAAATCCTGGCTAAACTCTTAATTATTTTTACAGAAAGCAGGGGGCTCTCTGATGTTTGCTTCCTGGAGTCACTTTTCAGAGATTGACTAGGGACATGTTAAACTGTGCACTTTTTGCCTTAATCAGCAACTAGTCTCTAAGCTTCTCTCTGAGTTCTCTCGCTTGTTTTTAATTATAGCAGAGTAATCTGACTTTGTGACCAAGAGCCAAGCTTTACTAGTGGAAAAGAATTGACTGTCCAGCTAGCTTTTAATGTCAGAATTACAGCCTGCACATTCACAATGCCTTGATTTCTGCCTAGAAACACACCTAGACAACTATGGCTAATACAGAAATCTAAGCAGGGACACATCTAATATTTGGATGAGAAATCACAATGAAAAAAGTACCGTACATTAGACTGAGGGGGAAAAATCCTGGAAGAAAGTAGTAGCAAACCATTTTGTGATCTATTTATTTAGATGTACAGGTATTATCATATTTATATTCTGCCACAAACCTAAAGGGCTTCATATTGTTATCACTAAATGAATGTATCCACCATCATTAGGAATTGGACTCAACATGAATAAGATTTTATTTATTTATTTGTGAGACTTATATACCGCTTTAAGTGCAAGCACTCTCTAAGCGGTGTACACCAGTAAGCAATGTATATATATATTTACATTGCCCCCAACAATCTGGGTCCTCATTTTACCTACCTCGGAAGGATGGAAGGCTGAGTCAACCTTGAGCCGGTGAGATTTGAACCGCTGACCTGCTGAACACAGTCAGCTAAAGTGGCCTGCAGTACTGCACTCTAACTGCTGCGCTACCTCGGCTCAATTGTTTTGTTACTGATTTCTACATTTTGTACTTCCCTTAAAAACACAATGATAAACAATTTGAGCTCCCCAGATATTCCACAACCAGGTTACTTTTGAATCTTTTCTCATGCATCTGTTTAACACGTTATAATCCTTTGGGAACAGCAGGCAGAATGCTAATCCAAACACAAATGTATTACTCTTTTAAAAGCTAATTTCAGTTGCAATAGAGGCTAGTCTGAAAATGAACAAGCAAAACTGATGTTTGAAAGTTTCACCTTGAACTGACATTTGTTGATGTTGAGAGTCTAGAAAGAGTGCAGAGAAGACCAACAAAGATGATTAGGGGACTAGAGACTAAACCATATAAAGAACAGTTGCTGGAATTGCATATGTCTAGTGTACTGAAAAGAACAAGTAGGAGTGACATGAAAGCAGTGTTCCAATATTTCAGGGATTGCCACAAAAAGGGAGTCAATCTATTCTCCAAAGCACCTGAAGGCAGGACAAGAAGCAATGGATGGAAACTAATCAAGGAGTGATCCAATCTAGAACTAAGGAGAAATTTCCTGACAGTTAGAACAATTAATCAGTGGAACAACTTACCTTCAGAAGTTGTGAATGCTCTAACACTAGAAGTTTTTAAGAATAGATTGGACAACCATTTGTCTGAAATGGTACAAGGTTTCCTGGTTGGTCTAGAAGATCTCCAAGGTCCCTTCCAACTTTGTCATTTTGTTATTCGGACAGTCTTTCAAAACGATGAAACAAAATAAATTGCACAGCAATAACTTTCTTCTTAAAATAAATGACGGTAAATGAACAAAGACTTGTCTTCAGGCTGATTTTTATTATTTTTTGGAAGGCTTCCTATTTTTGATTAAAAATTTTAGTTGGTTAAGTTCAGAAAAAAAATGACAGTTATGGATCATTGGGTATCAGTGAAAGCAATTTTATTCTGATTATCGCAGCTTTGAAATTTGAAAATGGGTTCAATCTGCTATGATTGAAATAAATGAGAGGTGGAACTGCAATACAAAATAATCAGCAAGTGTAAACACACAGTGCAATGATGAAACCATAGTCCAACAGCTTCACATTCCCAGGACAGGATAACTTTAAAGAAAAGGCAGTTAAAAAGGTTTGATCAGTTGCTTGGGGTTCAGTCTAACACACTCCTAGGATTTGGGGTACTTCTTCTGTGAGGGGCCATTAGTGCCTCTCTCTACTAGAGATAAAAATATATGTGCTGACATCCCAGAGCTACAGTATACCAAGAACCCCCTAAGGCTCTTAGGGCCTAAGCCATGCAGTTCTCGGACTGCTTGCCTTCCCACAAAGCATGGTGCAAGATGACCAAAAGACAGAGATGATAGGGGGCTCGGCTAATGACCAGTAGAATTCGCTGACAACAGGGAATGTTGGGCTTGCCATCGCTAAGCAACAACAATCATGTGACATCATGCTTTATGACCATATCACTTACAGACAGAAATTCCAGTCCCAATTGTGATCCTAAATCGAGGATTATCTGTGAATACATTGTGCCTCAGAGCTTCTGTCAAACCGTTCTGAGTGTTCTGAGGGTCGGCAGAATTGAAATTCAGAACATTTTCAGTATTTGAAACAAACTCTTGTCTCTTTCTCTCTTCTCGTGTCCTCCATGGCCAATGTTTGGTTGGTTTGCCGGCATTTTATTATCTCTACATCTGTTGGGAGACAAACCTTGTAAACATGCTTTTTCCAAGATTCCTGTCTTGCTGACAATCTTTTTTCCATCAGAGATGTAGAAGCGGATGTCAAACTGTGCTGAGCATGGACCTTCTAAGTAGAAATGAAAGATCTGTATTATTGACTGGTCTTATTTACTTGTTAGTTTCTCCTAATGATTAGGATCAAATCAAGAATAACCTTCCCCTTTTGAATGCGAAGGGGATTCAAAAGGTATTTTTGATTTGATCCTAATCATTAGGGAAAACTTAGTAGGCAAATATAAGTAGTGGGAACTTGGGAATGAGCATCTAATACCACAATTTTTGATGTTAAGAAAAAATGAAGCTGAGTGTTATATTGTATTTTGAACTTTAAAAAAGATGTACTCAAGAGCACTTATGGACCAGATTATACCAGAAATAAGCTAATGGGAAAAAGAGCACAAAATGGATAGGAATTTCTAAAAATAAATACTGAAAGCACAATCACAAACAATACCAATGAGGAAAAATGGATGCCCATAAAAACAGGACACTGTGGCTATCCCAAAAGATTTGTAAAAAACAGAAAAACAAATGACACATCCAAGAAGTAGAAAAAAAGACAGGTCACCAAAAAAGGGCACATATAGGAATTTCGGTTTGTGGAGCTAATGCCTGGAAAGCAAATGCTCCGAATAAATCCAAGTTAACAGAAGACTTTGTCATGTACTGTTATGTATTTAAAAAATAAAAAAGGATGAGAAGTGAAACCGTGTCAGCTGTTTCTTGAACTCAATTGTTGCTTTGCAGTCTTTTCTGAGCAGTGTTCTGACAATTTAATTGATTATTAATAGTTCAAAGGGCAGAATTCCAACTTGACAGGAAGGCAGTTCAGATAACCAGGACCAGATGGATTGCATGCTAAATGTCCAGCTCTTCACAGCAGGAAGCAAGTATTATACAATATTCCCTAAAGTTACCCCAGGATCAGCAGTAAAATATTGCAATCTATGAGAACTTCCAGCCCTTGTTATTAAGTTTGTTAAGACAGAACCTTAATGATTTGAAACTCAAGCTTTTTGCAAGCTGGCCTAAGCTACTATTTATGGGGTAATCTGCTAACAAACTCTTATTTCTTTTGCATCTAATACTCCTCTCATTATTTTTCCAGTCTCTTTATAAGCTCCTATGCTAAGATACTGAAAAAAATCTACGGTAGGCCAAATTTCTACCATTACTACTACTATCCAGAAATTCTGGAAAACCGGTGAAGTGATAGATGCACCACTTGCTATCTTCCAAGAGAAAAAAGAGGTTTCGGTTGAGTTTGACTGCAAAAAGAAATCTGGCTCAGTTAATGATGAGTAAGAGCATCTTAAAGAAAATCAACCCCGACTGCCCTTTGGAAGGAGAGTTGAAGAACTGAAGCTCAAATACTTTGACCACCAAATGAGGACTCACTGGAAAAGACTCTGATGCTGGGAAAGACTGAAGGCGAAAAGAGAAGAGGACGGCAAAGGATAAGATGTTCACGATAGTATCGTCGAGGCACCGAAGATGGGCAAACTCCAGGAGACAGTGGAGGACAGGTGGGGAGCTGGCGTGCTGTGGGGTCTCAAAGACGCGGATACGACTTAGCGACTAAACAACAACAAAGGGCATCAAACATACGGACAGCCTGTTTTATTGGGAACGGCGAAGACCAAAACAATCGCAATCCCGTCCTATTCAACCCAAGCTCGCTGCAGAAATACTCGCGCGCGCTAAGGCGGGACCCAGCACTAACCACCCCGGAGACAGAGACAAGACGAAGGAGCCAATCGCCCCCCGCCCCCGTTCACGCCCGTCGAGCAGAGAGCGAGAGAGAAAAACATAAAAAAAGCGGGCGGAAGTGAGGCAGCGCGCATGCGCGTTAAGACGCCCGGCGGCGGGAGTCAGGCTCTTTTTCGCATGTGACTCGAAGTCAGGTCTAGTAGGTAACGGCCGTTTACGTGGTTTCGAGAGTTTCGCTTCTCTTTTCTCTTTTCTCTCCCGCTCTGATAATGGGATAGGGTTTTCCAAAAGGGCAGGGGCCGCCATTTATTAGTTTCCAAGGGCTCTCGGGGACTTTTTCTCTCGCCGACCACTTCCATTTTGCTCCCTATACACGTTAAGAGTTACAAAGCCTTCCGCGCTTATTGGTGAGCCCGTGGGCCTCCCGTCGTCTCGCCGTGATGTACGAAAGAGGGGAGCTTGGCGGGAGCCAGCCTTGTCCAACCTCTCTCTTGTTACTTGTTCCGTATATTAGGTTTCTACCCCCCCTTTTGGGGGGGGGGTTTCTCCGAGAGCGCCAAGCAGTGTGGGCGCATTCACTTCCATTTCTCTTCGCAACCACCACTCTTGCAACCACCACTCTTGCAACCACAGCTTCTTTCCTTAGGGTTTCTATGGAGATTCTTAGTCATCCAGGTCATGATTGTCCCAAAGGTGCTTTTTTAACTGGACTTCCTTGTTTTTTCTTTGAAGACGTTTTGCTTCTCCAAGAAGCTTCTTCAGCTCTAACTGGATGGTGGGGAATGGGAGGATATATACTACTTGCAGACAGCTGATCTCTCTAAAAGAAGGCAAATATAAATTCTTCCATTCCCCATCATCCAGTCAGCAAAAGAAGCTTCTTGGATGAGATGCCAAACATCTTCAAAGAGAAAACACAGGTTTCAGTTGTCTCTTGGAAAAAGCATCTTTGGGTTTCCTTAGGGTGCCTGTGGTTTCATAGTAGCTTTGCCATAATTTTCTTTCTCTTGGTATATTCAGACCAATTGTACCTCACATGAGTACAAGACCAGCAATTTATCTACTTCTGTAATATTATCTTCCCCCTTTTCTCTCCGGCTCTCAAAATTTTAACATGGAAACCATGCAGACTTGCACCATATTTAACATCTGCCCTATGTGTGTCGATTTGGTTTTCTTCTTCCTGTCTTCCATCTTTTTCTTCTACTGCTTGTATGAGTTCAAGGTACAGGTAGTCCTCGGCTTACAACAATTCACTTAGTGACCGTTCCAAGTTAAAACGGCACTGAAAAATGTGACTAACGACTGTTTTTCATGGTTACAATCTTTGCAGGATCGCCATGGTCCCGTGATCAAAATTCAGATGCTTGGCAACTAGTTCATATTTAAGACCATTTGCTGTGTCCCAAGGTCATATGTTTCCCTTTTGTGACCTGACAAGCAAAGACAATGGGAAAGCCTGATTCACTTAACAATCGGATTACTAACTTATCAACTGCAGTGATTCACTTAAGAACTGAGGCAAGAAAGGTCGTAAAATGGAGCAAAATTCACTTAACAGATATCTCATTTAACAGAAATTTTGGACTGAATTGTCATAAGTCGAGGACTGTAGGTAAATCTGATTCTTATCTAAAGAGCTATTCTGGTAGTAAATTTTCTAGTGTTCTTTCTCTGAATTCAGTCCTTTGAACTGGTGTAATCACTGCAATGTTGTGAAATCTATTGTTTAGATTATTTGTCAGATAATACCTCTGTTCAAATAGCTTTATAATTTAGCTTTTGGCTCACCAGCAAGGTTATTTTAAGAACTGTAGACATCTTTCCCATTTTTATCCAGGGAATATTGTATCTATATCATCCATATTATCATTTGGAAAGCAAGTTACTCTCATTTTATTGGACTTTGATGATAAGTATAGCACAGTGATGGCGAACCTTTTAGAGACCAAGTGCCCAAAAACTGGCCCTGCCCCCTCTCCACCCCCCTGCCCTGCCCCCCATCCCCCGCCCCGTCTGCACACAGGACCACTCACTGCCTCCAGGGCCCGCCGCAGATCACCCAGGCAGCCCAGCAGCCCTATGGCGGTCACACCCTTTGCTCGTGTGGCCCCTACCAGCCCCTCCGCAAGCCTGGCTGCTCTACCCCAGGCACCCCTCTTGTCGTTGCGGCCGCCTGAGCTGCTTGGAGGGCAGCAGGAGGAAGAAGGGGAGGAGGAAGAGGAGGGCAAGGAAGCCACCGCCAGCGCAGGGCCCCAGGAGGAGGCTCTCCTACCATTGCTGCATCTCCTTCTTCCTTCCCGGCAGCCTGGACTCCGGCATGCCTTCCCGGCCAGCAGGGCCAATGGTCGGGCTGGCTGGGGATCGCAGGGGCTGGTCTCCCTTGGGCCGTAGCTTGTGGGAGGGCTGGCCCGCTCAGCAGAGCCTCCAATGGGCCGCTCCCAGCAGGGATCCCGGGGCTTCCCCAGGCGGCTCCAAGGCCACGAGGCCCTAGCCATGCTTCTCCCAGGGGGTGGGGCACCCAGGCGCAGGGCCAATCAGGAGCCCTGCAGGAGGTAAGTCCGCCTGAGAGAGAGAGAGAGAGAAGGGAAGCGAAAGTGCCTCTCTGTCTCTCTCTCTCTCTCTGCAAATGTCGGAGGAGGCCATGCAGAGACGGGTGCAGAGCAGTGTCTCGGTTCCTAAGACCATTAGAAATATGTGTTTTCCGATGGTCTTAGGCGACCCCTGTGAAAGGGTCGTTCGACCCCCAAAGGGGTCGCGACCCACAGGTTGAGAACCACTGTCCTAGAACAACCACTGCTCTAAAGGGTTATTACTGATGTAATGTTTTATCAAGATTAATAAGATTATACTTTTACAAATGCAAAAATATTTAAATAAGGAGCAGGGACATATTAATAGTGCTATCTTTAAAGTTTTAGACTTTTTTTAATTAAATAGATCCAGGTTGCAAGTTTAGACTGAAATGGTAATTTTTCATTGTACTGTATTTTATATCTTTTGAATAATAGCAAGACTTTGAAAAAAAAATAATTTTTGCCTATATTTATGTGAAACTTTAGGAAAATATGTGATTGACATTTTGTTTCTGAAAGGTGAAAATGTATTCCCCTGCTCATCTTCATTCAATTTGCCCAGTCATATGAATAAGTAAGTTCACCCTATTGAAATTGTTGACTGTTTCAGCTTTTTTCAATATACAGAAATCTCATCTTCATTTCAACAATATTGATAAAGGATATAGACTATAATAAATATGCACCATTTGCATTTGATAGTCTGTTTTGTAACTTTAAATGCAAATTTTACATGTGAAAAAACAAATACATTCCTACATTTATCATTACCTCAAATACCTAAAATTAGAATCAAGTGCATCAGATCAGCTGTAAATGATTAGAACATAATTAGGATGTGGGTGAGACTTGTCTTATTTAGACATTTTACTTATTTTCTACCTCCTTTATTATTTTTATAAATAACTCAAAACGGCAAACATGTCGAACACACCTTCCTCCTATTTTCCCCACAACAAGCACCCTGTGAGCTGAGTTGGGCTGAGAGAGAGTGACTGGCCCAAGGTCACCCAGGTGGCTTTCATGGCTAAGGCAGAACTTGAACTCCTAATTTCTAGCCCAGTGCCTTAAGCATTTACTCTTCATTGTTGAAGTGTGTGTGGAATCACCCTGCCTAGATTCCCTGAGGCATTCAGAAAGAAGGTAATAATAGTAGTAGTAATAGTAGTATAGTAAAGTTGGAAGGGACCTTGGAGGTCATCTAGTTCAACCCCTTGCTCAGGCAGGAAACCCTATACCATTTCGGACAAATGGCTGTCCAGTCTCTTCTTAAAAACTTCCAGTGTTGGAGCATTTACTGCTTCTGGGAGTAGGTTGTTCCACTGGTTAATTGTTCTAACTGTCAGGAAGTTTCTCCTTAGTTCTAGGTTGCTTCTCTCCTTGACTAGTTTCCACCCGTTGCTTCTTGTCCTGCCTTCAGGTGCTTTGGAGAATAGCTTGACTCCCTCTTCTTTGTGGCAGCCCCTGAGATATTGGAACACTGCTATCATGTCCCATTATAGATGCCTATTAGCCTAGAAAGGGGATCACCAAACAATTGGGCATAAATCATTTCACTGTCTGGAAGATCATCCACAAATGCAGAAGACTTCAGACAACTGCCAACTTGCCCATGTCAGGCTGTCCCAGCAAGTTCAGTCCCATATTAGGATGCAAAATGCTGAAAGTCTCTTAGAATCACAGACTTTTATCATATGATCTACAGATGGTTCTTGCCATCATTGATGTCAAAGTGCATTTGTCTATTAGAATAATTCTACATGGGGTGTGTGCCAGAAGGAAGTATTTGCCCTCCAGGAAGAACAGGGCAAGGCGGAGACCAGGATTTCTTCAACAATATGCTCTGGAGAGTTGAGGCAAAGACAGAATTCTTCTGCCACAGTATCAAGACATTTTTGATGAACGTCAAAGACTTCATTTCACCTGAAGAATCTGATGCCACTTGTAAAGCATGGTAGTGGAAATGTTATGGTTTGGGTTCGGTTTGCTACATCAGAGCCTGGGCAGCTCACTATCATAGAATCCACTTTGAATTCTTCATTGTACCGGAGGGTGCTTGAGGATAGTGCAAGACCATTTATCAGGAAATTGAAGCTCAGCTGAAAGTGGACCTTGCAACATGACAATGACCATAAACTTTTGAGTAAACCCATTAAGGGATGATTGGGGGAAAAAGGGCTTTTGGAATGGCCAAGACAAAGCTCAGATCTAAACCCCATCAGGATGTTGTGGGGTGATTTAAAATGGGCTGTGCATGCAAGAAACCTCTCAAACTGCTTGCTTTTCCCACAGAAGGGAATTGCATATCTTTTAGGTTTTTTTGTTGAATAAATAATTGCAAAGTCAATTTTTACTCACTTACCTTTAATGAAGATAAAATGCTGATATGTCCACATTTTGTAAAAAACAAAAAACAAACCCAAAACCTTTACACAGACATACATGTTTTTCACATGACTGTTCTATGAAAGGGATCTATTAATAGAGCCCATTCTTTGTTGTTCACAGAAATTCTCTAAAGTCGGGTGAACATTGAATTAGCAAATACTGAAGCATAGCTTCTAGGCGACATATAGGACATTTTTTTTAATGCATGAGAACTGAATCGTGTGTGTGTGTAAATATGAGAAAGTATGGTAACCAAATTTTAATAATGTATACTACAAGGTGCAAATCGGGTTCCAGTCCAGAATGTCATGGGAATGTGAAGTCAACCACAAGCTCTGTCAATAGAGCATACACCAGAAAGAAGCCAGTAGTCAATTGCTGTTGTAGCTGTATTTTAAAGCGCTCACTGTACCATCCTTGAAGTAAAAGGACTGTATTGGAATGTATTGAGAACTGAGAGACAAATTTTCTGCATCACCTGTCTATTAACTTCTCAGCTTAGTGCTTTCCTTTTTGCATACAGTATAACTCATCCTGGTTGTGCTGAAAACAGGGAGGTAGAAATTGAAACAAAATTAAAAGTCTTATGAATTCTTTTGAAAACTGAGTGACCTTTTTTGTGCCTTATTTTTTGTATTTACATGAAATAACAGTAACAATGATAACTTAAGAAATTACTTATTTCAAGCTTGAGCCTTGTACTCTTCCGACTTTGTTGATGTTCTCAATCCAGAGATCATTTTCTTTTATCCAAATTGTTGTGCTACCCAAATAGTACTTATGGATGTAATTTGTAATATTCCAGTATAGGTTATTTCAAAATCCTGTTGAAATCCAGAATAGCACCAAAAAGTATTTAAGGGACCACTGCACACTAGGGGACAATATTGCCTTATTCTTTCCCTTGGTGTATACATACCTCTTTATTATTATGGTTCATTGCACAGTCAGCCATATGTTTAGACTGGTTTTGGCATTTTTATCCACCTATCAAGTCCTTCCCAAAGATCTGGGATAGATGTTGTTTGATGGTGTTAAAGGTATCATCACATGATGAAAGCTGTTCCAAGCAAAGCTGCCTTTTGACTGATGGAGATTTTGTCAATGATGATGTTCAAGTGGTGCCACAGATGATTTTGGGATTGAACCCAAGGCACCTATCATTGGTACTATCTTTTCCTTTGCCACAGTTGTTCTACTTTTATTTGCAGGTCTTTGTATTTTTCTCCTTTCTTTATTATTCTATGTCTCCAAATACTACTACTGTGTCCAGACTTATTTTCCTTACCGGCAGTTGTTAAGTCTGGGATGTTATGTAGCTGGTGCTTGTCTGTTTGAATTCTAAAATCCTGAGCACTTTAGCGTCTTGATTTTGTGTATTTTGTGGTGCCATCACAAACTTATTGCTTGCAGGCAAATGGTATTTTCTGCAGATATTCCAGTGCACCATTGTTGCTGCTTTATCTTGTCATTGTTTGTAGTCTGTGTTTATTGTGTAATGGTTGAATTCTTAAGCGATCTGCAAATCTCACAGTTTTTTGGCATTCTTACCATAACACTCTCGAGGCTTAAATTGGGAATACAAAAATCTTACAGGGTTTGGCACTTTTCCACAAATTAAACCATTTTATGTGTAAGAATTAAGGATATTTAATGAAGAGTTGAGTTATGGCCCATAGGTACCAGTGTGCCAGATTTTAATGCTAATAGTAGTCTGCATTTTTCAAGGATAATACAGTCTACATAAAGTGAATGATAATGAATTTACAAAACTAGGGAACATGTGTCTGTCCCTAATCTTTATTCAATCATTTTTTTCAAAGCCGCAGAGGATTGTAGGGGAAAAAATTTGTTCTTAGAGTTTACATAGCAGAAACCTTTTCATGGTTTTCAGCAGTTCAGTTGCCCATTTAAAAAGTATAAAAGGTATGTGTAATAGTTAGCATTTGCTGGATTATTTGAAGTTTCTCACAAATTCTCTTACGTCATTGTCTCCCACCCAGCTTTTCTGACAACTATTATATGTGTAACAGCTATATGAACCATAAAAGGTATTAACTGAAATAATTTTCATTGCATCTGGTTTCTACTATTTAGAAGACTGTGAATCCCAACGGCAGAGTTACCGTAGTTTTCAGCAGGCTTCTATCAAACTACCAAACCATGAATACAGAAGACAGCTATGGTAAGATAAATTTAGATTAATAAAAATAGCAGCTAAATGTAACAATATGTACCATGTGTTTGTTACTCCTTGATCTTAGTTACCACCTGGGGGTCTTGATAATCACCTCCTGAGCAACCTGGAGATTAAGGGGGAGGGGGGAACCCATGTTATTATTTATTTATTTAGGAAAATTTGTATTGCCACCTACTTGCTCACGGCCACTCCTGGCAGCTTACAGGAAATAATGCTACATATTCCAGGGGGGGGTGAATCGGAGTGACTAAAATTTGGTGACATAAAGGCTCACACATTGTGGTTGGCCTTCATAGTCAGTTGTTTGTGTTGAGCAGAGTTCTGTGTTTCCTACTAGAAAAGAATAAGAGGAAAAATGTTTCATCCCTGACCTTGTGCAGTTCTAAAATGCAGCAGAACACCAAGCACAATTCCCTGTTCCATTATCCTTGATTGAGAATAGGGCTAGAGTGCACAAACCTACTAATATTACTGCTCATCTTTATTGCATTACACCTCTGTAGTGTTGACAGCTTTTCAGAAGTACAATACAGTACAGTACAGAATTCTCCCAGCTTTGACCTGGTTGAGCAGTCTGGGATCATCTCTGTAGGTTACAGAGCTACTGAGTCCCATCAAGCACGTCTGCAGTTACCGCACAGGTAGTCCTCGACTTACAACCATTTCTTTAGTGACCTTATGAAGTTATAATGGCACTAAAAAAAGTAACTTGTGACTGTTTTTCATACTTACGATGGTTACAGCGTCCCTATGGCCACCTTGGCATCTGGCATATATTTATGACACTTGCATTGTCCCAGGGTCGTTGGCTTCTGACGAGCAAAGTTAATGGGGGAAACTAGATTCAGTTAACATTTGCATGTTTCGCTTAACAACTGCAGTGATTCGCTTAACAACTCTGGCAAAAGTTATAAAATCGGGCGCAACTCATTTAACAACCATCTTAGCAAAGGAAATTTTGGGCTCCGTTATGGTTGTAAGTCGAGGACTACCTCTAATGATTCTAACATCCTGTCCAACTTAAAGCTTAAAAGAAAATCTGCTTTCCACATTTCTAAGGTATCCTAAGCTTTCAAAAGTCCAGTGAAATTGTACTTTTGTTACTTCCACTTGTGAACTTCACATTGGGGGAAGTGTTGCAGCTCAGTTGTATCCGATATGCTTAAACCTGCTGTGAGCTATAATCCTCTCCCATAATCCAACCCCAGAGTCAGGAGAATGTCATATTCAGGCCTTCTTTCTACAACAGATTTCATTATATGAGGACAATCCAATGTGCTATGTGAATTCAGTAACTCAGTCAGTAAGCGAGAGGTGGTTATCAATTCAGTTTCATCCCAAACAACTCTGTGAGATGAGACTATCTCCCTAAGATAGCCATGTCATATATATATATATGTATGTATGTATGTATAGGTTTTTGGTTATTCGGGTTTTCTCCCACGTAAAATTGGAAGTGTCTTGGCGACGTTTCGACGAAGTCCCATTCGTCATCTTCAGGCTGGTGTTTTCAGCTTCGTGCTTCGAGGAGCAATGTATGGTCTTAGCTGTTTCTTCCTTTTAACTGCCAGTGGGGGTATTAAGTTAAAAGGAAGAAACAGCTAAGACCACACATTGCTCCTCAAAGCACGAAGCTGAAAACACCAGCCTGAAGATGACGAATGGGACTTCGTCGAAACGTTGCCAATACACTTCCAATTTTACACGGGAGAAAACCCGAATAACCAAAGACCTACATACAAACACCTGCGAAAACCTCAGAAAACATATACATACATACATACATACATACATACATGGAATAACAGAGTTAATAAAGGTTCATCCTTCCCAGCCAGCATTTGAAACACATGAGGGCTTAAGACAGGGCTGCTTGTATGTACTCTCTTCCCCTCTATGCCCATAGTGGCCATCTGGAAGTTTCGAAGAAAAAGATCAAATCCCAACCTTAATCAGAGCACTGCAGATTTTTAGACCTTTTTTCCTTGCTGAGGGAAGAAAACTAAGTGATAAGCTCCTTTGTGGCAAATAGGAGGACTTGGAAAATGTTAATTTTCAATTTTACCAAGACATTGAAAAATGTGCATTTTCAGTGGATAGGGTAAGTCAGTTGTTGGAAGAATTAATAGGCTGCTTTAGTTTACTGGTAATAGGCATGGTATATAATAGGGATTGAATTCATTTCTTTGAAAGTATCCAATTCTTTCAGCTGTAGATCACATCTCTTAAAAACTTTTCAAGTAGACATGATTTTGCTGCCCTTAGGACGATGATCTGTTGAATTGTTTCCAAATGGAGCAGAAATATACTGAATTGTACTTCCGTTGTACAATCCAAGAACATCTCACATATGCTATTTTGTTAAATGTAATCGTTTACACTGATGGAAGACATTTTTTTTTCACATAGCATCTTATTGGAAATACTCATATTGAAGAAAAGAAAAAAAGAATGAGAACAAAAGAATGCTAGCAAAGATTCATTTGAGATTTTAATGATATTCCCCTCAGATTTTTCCTATAGCAGTGTGTTGTGGTGATCTCTGAATTGAAAACACAGAGGATTTTGCCAAAGATGTAGCCTAACACAATGATGTCCCCTCTGAGCTCAGATAAGAGCCACTTATCTTAGAAGGCCAGTGGGGACCGTGAGTAGCACCTCTTCAATTTTCTTGAATAACTCTTTTAATTGGACTGTCTAATTGAGTAGCTCAGGGATACAGATTTTCTGCAGCTTTCTCTTCATTTCATAAATGTGCTCATTAACATCTGCCGCATTGTTTTGCACTCCTGACTGCATTTCTTTGTTTAGCACCCTAATCGCCTAAACCTTCTGAGTGAATTTAATTAGCCAGCAAACTTGAAGTAATTTTGTTGTTATGGAATACTAAGAACTGATAGCTTTTCTTACTTATCTGATTAATTCCAATGTGTTGGTGTGTTTTTGCATTGCACTTAAAAGAGTACTTTTGGGATACTCATTAGACCTTCATGTTCTTTCCTAATAGATGCTTTGGATCCTGAAAAACTAATTCAGTGCCCCTATGACAAAAGCCATCAAATCAGGGCTTGTAGGTTCCCCTATCACCTTGTCAAGTGTCGAAAGGTAAGCTGTGGAAATCCTTTGTTTAAATGTAGTTGAGGATGCAGAGTATATGGAATAATTGCCTACCTGCTTATTTCCCAGATGATACATTTACTTCTTTTTTTGGACAAGTCGGTATTACTGTTTTTTCCAATTTCTTCAGGGTATGTTTTAGTCACTCTTAATTTCCTTCATTCCATTCCCTCCATTTCAAAATGTGGTCTCAGTGTTCTTTTTTTCTACAGTGACGGAAAAAATATTTGATCCCCTGATGTTTTTGTACGTTTGCCCACTGACAAAGAAATGATCAGTCATTCATTTTAATGGTAGATTTATTTTAACAGTGAGAGACAGAATAACAAAAAAAATCCAGAAAAATGCATTTCAAAAAGTTATAAATTGATTTGCATTTTTAAAATAAGTGAAATAAGTACTTGATCCCCTATCAGTCAGCAAGATTTCTGGTTCCCGGGTGTCTTTTATACAGGTAAAGAGCAGAGATTAGGAGCACTCTCTTAAAGGGAGTGCTCCTAATCTCAGCTTGTTACCTGTATAAAAGACACCTGTCGACAGAAGCAATCAGTCAATCAGGTTCCAAACTCTCCACTATGGCCAAGACCAAAGAGCTGTCCAAGGATGTCAGGGACAAGATTGTAGACTTACACAAGACTGGGATGGGCTACAAGACTATCGCCAAGCGATAGTGAGGAGGTGACAACAGTTGGTGCAATTATTCGCAGAAGGAAGAAACAAAATAACTGTCAATCTCCCTCAGTCTGGGGATCCATGCAAGGTCTCACCTTGTGGAATTTCAATGATCATGAGAACGGTGAGGAATCAGCCCAGAACTACACGGGAGGATCTTGTCAATGATCTCAAGGCAGCTGGAACCATAGCCACCAAGAAGACAATTGGTAACACACTACTCCGTGAAGGACTGAAATCCTGCAGCACCCGCAAGGTCCCCCTGCTCAAGAAAGCACATGTAGAGGCACATCTGAAGTTTGCCAATGAACAGCTGAATGATTCAGAGAAGAACTGGGTGAAAGTGTTGTGGTCAGATGAGACCAAAATCGAGCTCTTTGGCATCAGCTAACTCGCCGTGTTTGGAGGAGGAGGAATGCTGCCTCTGACCCCAAGAACACCATCCACACCATCAAACATAGAGATGGAAACATTATGCTTTGGGGGTGCTTTTCTGCTAAGGGGACAGGACAACTTCAGTACATCAAAGGGACAATGGACGGGGCTATGTACTGTCAAATCTTGGGCGAGAATCTCCTTCCCTCAGCCAGGGAATGAAAATGGGTCGTGGATGGGTATTCCATGACAATGACCCAAAATACACAGCCAAGGCAACAAAGAAGGGGCTCAAGAAGAAGCACATTAAGGTCCTGGAGTGGCCTAGCCAGTCTCCAGACCTTAACCCCATAGAAAATCTGTGGGGGTAGCTGAAGGTTCGAGCTGTCAGATGTCAGCCTAGATGACCTCCAAGGTCCCTTCCAACTTTACTATTATTATTATTATTACTTGGAGAGGATCTGCAAAGAGGAATGGGACAAAATCCCTCCTGAGATGTGTGCAAACCTGGTGGCCAACTACAAGAAACGTCTGGCCTCTGTGATTGCCAACCAAATACTAAGTCATGTTTTGCAAAGGGGTCAAATACTTATTTCACTCATTAAAATGCAAATCAATTCATAACATTTCTGAAATGCGTTTTTCTGGATTTTTTTGTTATTCTGTCTCTCACTGTTAAAATAAACCTACCATTAAAATTATAGACTAATCATTTCTTTGTCAGTGGGCAAATGTACAAAATCAGCAGGGGATCAAATACTTCTTTCCCTCACTGTATGTATTTCCAAATGACAGAGAAAGAACTGGCTATCTTCATTGGGTCTGAGTGGTACCAAACTTGAAACTGTATTTTTGGTCTTGTAAATTACGATTTTAGTGTGAATCATTTTCCAGAACTTTACAACAATATCACCAAATAATGAAAAAGATCTGACATGTTCATTACATTTCCAGCAGTTTTTAGAGACTTAGTAAGCCATTTCAGCAGTTAAGACAGAAGTAATATACCAACAATAGGAAAGTAGTGTACCGAGTAACTCAATCAGGGAAGTAGTCAGTGGCTTGCTAGAAGAGGGGATGTTGCCAGCTGCTGTGCAAAAGATGATAGGTTAGCTTCTTGGAGCCGACAGGTTTAGACAGAGCTTTTCTCAGTCTTCAATCTTCCTTCTTAGGAAGGTCGTCAAGAAAATGTTGAGTTGGAAGTAGTTACACTAACTCAATCCATTGTCTCCAGTTACCTAGATAAATACATAGATAGAATAGTATAACAATATAAAAGCATAGTGAAAACACTTGGCTGAACTATTGCAACACACTCTGTATGGAACTACTTTTGAAAACTGTTCAGAATCTGCCTGGTATAACCTGTTTGCTAAATACATGAAAGCTTCCTGAATTATATAGTACTGGTATTGTGGGCACTGTTTAGGTTGCCAGAGTCCTACATGCTTTGACACTTAAGTACTTGTAGGACCAGTTAATTCAAGAGGAGTTGTCCCATTCAGTGAGTGCTTCCCCTCAGGGATAGTGAGTATCTTCACATGTTAGGGGAAAGCTGGTTAGAAAAAAATGTTTCTTTGTGCACGATCTCTACTTAACAGCTTGACTCTTAGAACGTCAGATGCTATCCCTACTACTTGCTTTTAGAAAGACAAAACAGTTCCAAAGAACATTCTTAATGTAGCTAGATGTTTTAATCAATGTATTACAGTATTATTATTGGATGAATTTATATAAATTGCCAAGAGTCCATATATAGTTAGCAATATACGAATGTTGTAATATGTCTCTATAGACTAAATCCTTTTTTATATGTAAGTTACAATAATTATAGCCCCCTTTATGGTTCAATAAGGGAAGTCTCTAGGTTCATGGAAAGTATCAGTAATTCTTGATGATATATAAAATTGCTCCAAATAAACATGATTCTTATTGAGGGGCTTCTGTAATTGATTAGTTTCATTTTATAGTCTTCAGATTGAAAACTAAGTCAGAAAAGAGATCAGGATAGGAATGTTCTATGCAAAAGTATATTCACTACTAGAGCTTTTTATTTTGTATGGGCGATGTTTCAATCATGTAAAGCCCATGCAGCTGCATACTTAAGTGGCATAATTCAGAAATAGGTTCATCAATTTATTGAGAGTTGGGCCTTTTGGCTAAGATCAAGTGTAATTAGGCCAAAGGCTTCTGTTGTGAGAAATCAGGAAAGGACGTGAAATAGTATATCTTCATTTAGAAAAATCTGCCTATGCAAGGTGCTGATTCAACCCTTTGTTTAATTTAGCATATGAAAACTATTGTAATATTATGCAGATGTTATTCCAGTACATAGCACCTAAATAAACAATCATACATCAGCTCACGCAGCCTAGGCAGAATTTGCTTTATTTCAGAATATATTTGGAAATACCTTATTCTTCTTCCCAAATATGACATAAGCTACCATTTATTGTTAGATTGATGTAATGTAAAAACCCTTATTGTTTGCCTGTAGAAATTAGAGAAGCAGCTCCTATATAAACTTTAAAAACAGTAAATTTCTTTTGGCTTTATTCCAGCCAGGAGAAACTCCAAACTTCTCAGTGAATCTAAACATTTCAACATATCACCTCAGCTTAGGTAGCATACTCCTCAATGAGCCAAGTCTTTGTTCTTCTTTGAGATTTTTTTTTTATAATTTCTTAAACTGGAGGTGCCTTGGTTCCTGACTTCTGTTGATATTTATACATAAATTAGATTCCTGAGGATATGTTTTCACTTTCCCAAGAATATGCTCAAATATTTTTCCCATGATTTGTGCAATGGCATAAATTCATTTGTGAAAAGGGTTTTCCTCATAAGATGGGCCGTAAGTCCTTTTTTAGTACCAGCAAGACAAATGACCCATCAGCAGCACTGAACCCACCAAGTTTTTACCTGACAAAGGTTTGTATTGCAAGTGAGAGTTTTGTTTGGAAGACTCTAGCTCAACACATTTCTTGATAATCTCCAGAGATTAAGTTCCAAACAAGCAGTAATCAGTTGAGCAGAATAGTTTGCCTATTATCTCATTGCCAGTCTCAACAATAAGGCAGAATTTGAGTAGTTTGTCCTCAGCCAGTCCTTGAATTGTCACAGTATCCTCAGTTAATTTAACATGTTTAATCTTTATTCTGTTTCCAAGGAAGGTGCATTTTTTAATCATACTTTACAAACAGGTCCCTTAACTGCAGACTCTAGCCTTCTTCCAGTAAATCTACTTTCCTCAACTAATATAAAATGCATTAGCTTCTGAATATTTTGAACTGGAGAAAACATTTCAAACTGGATTCAGCTTCTTTTTCTGTTCCTTTCCCTGGAGCATCTGGCCTTCAATTTCTTCATGTAATTGAGATTTGGCATTATAATGCCTTTCCATGTTTACTTCATCAGAGCAACTCACTCAGTGCTAATGAGGCAAACTGGCTTGCCTTTCACTTCCCCGCAAAATAAATCAAGTTATCTAATTCTCTTTTAAAGTATGGTTCTTGAAGTGAAAGGATAGAAATTCAGGTTGCCTCATTTCAAGAAAAACACCATCAATATGTTTCCATCACAGAGCTATAAGTTTTTTCTATGCAAGCTTATCCAAAAGTTTGTTGAAATCAATGTTTCAGATATCCTCAATACGTACCAATGCTAGGCTATGTATGTCTGCTCAGAAGGAAGGGCAAATATCAGCCCGAAATTAAGTGTGGTCATTTCTCTTCCTAAATTACAAAGCCGAACCTTTAATCTTATAAATAACTAGATTGTATTCATGCATTCAGTTAGAGTTGATAGAGGTGCTGTGGTAGTGGTGGTTCTGGAGTATAATGAAAAGGCTTTGGAAAATAATGGACTGTCTCTAAGGCATGGGGAAAAGTCCCAAAGATCAAGAATACGAGTCCTGCCAATTAAAAGTCACCTAAATAGATCAAAGAGAGAAATACAAGGAGAATAATGGAACTAGTATACCAAATATGGAGAGGAAATCCTGATTTCAAATCATGATTTGGATGACCAGAAATATTTTCTGAATGTGGCCACTATGTATGGATTCGCACTTGTGCTAGTGGTGGTGATGGTATGGAGAATCCAATAGGAGGTAGGTTTTAAGATATTTTTTTCCCTGTGTCCTGCTCTAGAGCTATTTAAGAGAGCCCAACTTGTTTTACAGAGCCCAACTAAATAATAGTACCGGGCCACATTAGGCAAATCTTGAAAAATAAAGCAAAATTGGATATGGTTAGAAGTTTGGCTGTAAACCAAAGTGGGAATTTAAAAAAAAAAATCCATGAAGACGATGGCAAACCTTATTGATGCCAAATGGTTGTTTCATGGAGAAATAAGTAAACTACTTACTTTGTGTCATAGTTGTATGTCACTGCTTGTTAAGATTTGAATGAAAATGCATGCAAGTTGTTAAAACAACGCCCAGGTGCCTTGTCAGTAAGGCTGCTGTGATTTTGTTATCTATACTTGTCTTTCTAGAACCATCCTGGGATTGTGGAACAGCTGGTCACTTGCCCATTTAATGCTCGTCATCAGGTGCCCAAGGAACAGATCAGCCAACACATATCAAGCTGTGATGACAAACGATGCATCGAGCAGGACATCGGTAAAAATAAATCTTTTAAGAACTGACTGTTGACGGCTATAACAGTCCCTGACTTCGCTGTTAGATTTTCAAAAATGGTTTGTTGAATAAGTTTTCTTTTGCCTCCAAAAGGCCTTTCAGCATCTGTTACAGGTATTATAGACTGTGTGGTTCGCTATTGATTGTGATTTGGAATGGCATAGGTAAAATAACCACTTTTTTCTTGATGACCTAGCAAGTCCTTTTGAGTCCTCAGTTTCATAAACCAAGGGCTTTGTATTGTTAAACATTGTGACATAAATTGTGAGTGCTATAGTAAAAGGTAGTCGGGTTAGGTTTTGAAAATAATAACCTTGGGTCACTGACATTTCCTATCCAGTGGAGTGAAGCAAGCAGAGACAAAAGCTACGTATTACTTGCCCTTTTATGAAATAAGTGAATGTCATTGTGTTCTTAATCCACAAACATGCATAACAGAGCGCTATACTTGGAGGTTTATTGATTGATGTAATCATTTATAGACTGTCCATTGCTTAAATAATGCCAGATGATTTACAGTGCTATACATAAAAAGTGATTAAAAATCGTCAGAAAACTTAAAGACAGACAAGTACCATCAGCACCCAAATGACCCATAGTATAAAATATTTTAAGGACTTCTTAAAAACCACAAAGTGTGAGGCATTTCTTATCTTAGGAAATAACATTTTCCAAAAAGCTGGGCATCTACTGAGAAGAGGCATTCTTGAGTTCCTAGCCCTTTCTCTTTCTGTAGTATGGGAATCAAGATTGCATGGAGCGTATTGAGTCTGGATAGAATAGACCTTTCTGTAGGTACCTGGGTAACTTTTCCCATCTGCAGGTTGGACTGATACTGCAAGGAGAAAGCATTCTCTCAATTAACTGTTTGGACTGAAAAAAAAAATAGCAAAGTTTAACCACGTCACTCATTGAATTATTTTGGAAATCAAAACCTCACTAGATATTTAAGACCTCTTCTGTAATGTATGTATAAATGTGCCAGGATAAATAAGTGTGAAAGAATCAAAACAGCATGAGTATCATTTGGCATAAACCTGAATACTTATCCCTTGCTAACCCATGTACCGTAAACCTGGGAGTAACTAGAGCCAGTGGAGCAGTGCTTCATAGTAACTGAGTCTCAGATTGAAGCTTGTATTTAACAGAATATCATCACATTGACTTGTTGTCAAAAGGTTGATTGATACCAACATTAGTTCCAGTTAAGATTGGCAGAGGAGCCCCCTGATCTGGATCTGAAACACTCATCCCACAATTTTAACTTGAACTATATTGGCTATAATGTAATTTACATCTAGAATTAAAGCAGGAGAAGGGGCTTATTCTGGGAAAATAATATATGTTATTGCAGCATGACACCTGATTGTAAGTAAAAAAAGTAAATTGGAATAAGAGGAATAAGGAGAACTAGCATTATATTTTGCAGCTGGAGGGGGGTTAGGTTTGAACTCAGTATTTCAGAGGTTTAGTTTGGAGTCTGAAAGAAAACAATGTTTTAGTTCCATACTCTTAAGTGCTCGTGTGTGGGAAGCAATGGGGACCTGAAATGAATTCCTGCTCCTTCATTTTCTAGGGCCTTATAGAACAAGGGTGTCAAACTTGCTGCGTCATGCGACGTGTTGTGACGTATTGCGACTTTTTTCCCCTTGCCGGAGCTGGGATCATGCTTCTGCATGATGCATCCGGCCCGTGGACTGGCAGTTTGACACCCCGTTATAGAAGATGTAGACCCTACTGAATGCTATTATGACTCAACCAATGGAAGGAATGGTCAAGGGGATTTTTTTTCTTGCAATGTTTTTAAAGTATGGCCTTCAGAAGCCGTTCTATTGCTACCAAATCTAACAGCCATTAAGCCCCATCATTTCTACAAACTGAAGCCCTTTGTAGGCTACCCCTTAAGATGGGTTAGTACAGTGTAGCCAAATGTAGTTCCAATTTGGGTCATCTTAGAAGCATTTTTTTCTCAGAATGAGTCTTTTTTGTTACAGCAAGTCAAGCAGAGAATAAAAGAAAAGTTAATGTGATAAGTTCATGGCAGTCTCCTCCATGTGAAGAAGACTGGGACAAAGGTGAGAATTGTGTTGTTGATACTTTATTAGAATACTGCAAGTTTGAGTTTTCCCTTCCTCTTTTTTGAATGATGCTTGATATGAAAAGGCACTCCTATCAAACAGCTATTCTTCCATTATTTTCTATCCTGTGCTGTTATTATCCTTGTGTCAAGCAGAAATTGTAACATTTTACAACCTAAGGTTATGCATTCTCATGTAAATTAATGATATTTCTGCATTGCTTCCTTTGACACCAAATCCTAGATTAGTTTTATTCTTAATCAGTAACAGAATTTATTTTCTTTTCCATAAGTAAAAACTGATATTTTTGTGCCATAATAGATATAGCAAACCAATCAGACTCTACTTTCGTTTGGGGCACAAGCTGCTCTGCAGTGAACAGGTAAGTTGTGTTTCCTTTCTATTCTTAAACTGAAGATCATTTCTCCCAACTCCTGTGCATTCCTATTTTTGCTCTAAATGGAGAAATTGGGTTTTTTTTTAGGAATTTTAAGTTTTGTTATAAATTAGAGACATTGTGGCTTATTGATGACATTTAAGAAATATATTTCTTTGTTCTTTGGGGTACTGTTACAGATAGTCCTCAACTTATGACCATTTGCTTACTGACAGTTTGAATTAATGATGGCCTCAGAAAGTATAAAAGACTTGCAACCAGTGCAAAATAATCACACATGCACATCACAGTTGTGTGATTATGATCTGGGCACTTTGCAATCTGTTCACACTTACGACTGGTCGTAAAGCTAACATTGCTGGCATTGGGGAGAGCAAAGGATTGCGAAGAAAACAAAACCAGCAGGATTTTAGCTCCCCCAGCATTAATCAACTGCATTTCTTCTTCCTGCTACCCCTTCATAGTAACACTGAAGAATATTTGCTGCTGCACCTGTGATTTTGTTTTAAGTCCACCTAATATTAAAATTGTCACAATTGAGATGTGAAAACTACTTCCCAAGCTGATAAGGGGATTAGCAATTATCAAAATTACAACAGTGGCAGTTTGCCATTTCTTCTCAACCTTCTAAGCCTATTGCATTGCAAAACCACCAAAAAGCATTATCTAGATCAGGCATGTCAAACTGCCAGCCTGTGGGCTGGATGCACCATGAAGAAACCGCACCCACCCCATTGCCGGCAATGGGGAAAAAGTCACGATACATCGCCTGACATCACGTGACGTTGCGAGTTTCACATACCTGATCTAGATAGAATATATATAAAGAGGTTTCATTTGAAAATAGTCACTCAGGGTTTTGTGCTACAACCTAATATTTTGTTTCTAATAAACCATAGTAATTGAGTTTTTTTAGCCTGATTTCTTGGATTAAATATTTCCTGCTGGATTTGGAGGAAGACCATGTGAGATTAATTTCAGTGACTCCTTACTCCCTTTACAAGGGAGGCTTGCTTTCTGCAAGTTTTGATATACAAATCATAGTGATTGATCTTATTATGCTGTTGCCTATTGAACAAATTGTCAGCACCTTGGTTCAGCAGACCTGTGCTAGAACCAGGGGGATATCAACATTAACCAATTGCCTCAAGCAGTCACCTATCTAAGGCAGCAGACAGGAAAGATTCTACTCCTATTGCCTGTTGCGCTCAAGGATTATACTGCCTGCTGTGACTGCTTTTTCAACCTGATTCCTTGTGATAGAACTCAGAGAAGTTTAAAGTTTCCATTACTGACTTTTTATACCAGGGCTGTCAAACTCGCAACATTACATTGACTTTTTGGCCATTGCCGACAATGGGGTGGGCACAGTTTCAGCATGATGCATTCGGCCTGTGGGCTGGTAGTTTGACACCCCTGTTTTATATGAATTGCATATATCCTTGTCATTGTTTTTGAGTAGAATTTACTGTTGATAGGCAAAACTGCCAGATAGGCAAATCCAGTTTTAGATCATTAGCCCTGAAAACTATAACAATGTAATGCTTACAATCAAGATCCACCTTTAATGACTTGGCTAGAAGGGTGTCGCTAATTGAAATTTACTAATTGCCCTAAGGCAGTGGTTCTCAACCTGTGGGTCGGGACCCCATTTGGGGTCAAACGACCATTTCACGGGGGTCGCCAAACCACGCTGTCCGCCATTTTTTCCCCTTTTCCCTAGCTGTCCTACTCCCTCTTATTGGTGGCCACACCCACTTGGGGGTCACCACAACATGGGGAACTGTATTATGGGGTCACGGCATTAGAAAGGTTGAGAACCACTGCCCTAAGGTAAAATCAAAAGTAAGTGTATGTAGCTGCCTTCCAGCTTTACTCCAGAGATGTGGACTAGAACAGTGGTTCTCAACCTTTCTAATGCCGCGACCCCATAATACAGTTCCCCATGTTGTGGTGACCCCCAACCACTTATACATCACTGGGTGCCAGGAGCGTGGCCAAAGAAAAGGGGAAAAAATGGCGGACCGCCTTGTTTGGTGACCCCCGTGAAATGGTTATTCGACCCCAAATAGGGTCCCGACCCACAGGTTGAGAACCACTGGACTAGAATAAATTTGCATTAGTTAACCAAATTAAAAAGGGCCTTTCCAATGAACAGCCTCGTGAGTTGGGTTGATAGGACATTCCGCATATCATAGCATAGCTATCCTCAGCTTAAAACAGTTCATTTAGCGACCATTCAAAGTTACAACAGCATTGAAAAAAGTGACTTATGACTGTTTTTCCACACAACTATTGTAGCCTCCCTGAGGTCATATGATCAAAATTCCGACATTTGGCAACTGGTTCGTATTTATGACAGTTGCCCTCTCCCGGGGTCATGTGATCACCTTTTGCAACCTTCTGACAAGCAAAGTCAATGGAGAAGCCAGATTTGCTTAACAACAGTGCCACTGACTTAACAACTGCAGTGATTCACCTAAAACAACTGGGGCAAGATAGGTCATAAAAATGGGACAACATTCACTTAACAAATGTGTCATTTAACAACAGAAATGTTGGGCTCAATTGTGAGCGTAAGTCGAGGATTACCTGTACTGCATAGCCATAGACAAAAAAATTAGACAGATATAGGATAAAAAGACTGATGATGAATCAATGAAATGTGAGCAAGTAGACTTCATTTGCCAGCCACAGCCTAGATATCCATGCTTGGTTTCTATTTTGTTACACAAATAAATGCCCAAATCAAACCAAGTTGGGTTTTCTCTTTCTCTTTGTTATTTTTTTTCTTTTTGTCTCCATTCTGTTTTATTGAGTAAAGCAAAAAAATAACATCCCTTCTCCATGGAAATATCAGAGAACTCTTGCAATGTAAGAATTTAGTAATAACCTATTATTTGAAAGATCCTGTCTTACGGCTTAGTTGGGAACTAATTTGGTAACCATGCTTGCTCGTTTCTCGATCTTAGTTTAATTATAAAATAGCTTAATTATAAAGTGTGTGTGTATGTGTGTGAATAGAGATTGTTCAGTTTGCTTATACAAAGAGTACTGGAAATAGCACAATTAAATGCCGAGTGGAACTGTAGCAGATATCAGTGGCAAATCTGTTTATCCTACAGAAGATCATACAGAGGTATTAGTCCTGACCTACAAGAATTTTTTTAAAAAATTGTGGAATAATGAACAACACAGGTAGTCCTTGAATCGTGACAGCATTTGGAACTGGAATTTCTGTCTCTAATGATACTGCTGTAAAGTGCAATGTCACATGACCGCCTCTCTTATCAATGGCAATCCAAGCATTCTCTATTGCTGGTGTTAATCGAACCCCACTGGTTGTTAGGCAAGAACCCACCCCAATCGAAGCCATTCCCCCCCCCCCGTGCCCCATTTCTGCCCTTTTGGGCTGCCCTACACTCTGCGACCTCTAGGGACCCTGGTTGTCTCTCTCGCCCTGGTCTCTGCTCACCCCGTGGAATGCGAATTGCCCCTTGCCCAAATTGCATATGGCGTTCTTGCTTTGAAATCTTCCAAAGCCTGTTAGGAAAGTTTTTATGTCTTGGTGGGAAGAAAGACTGGTGTGGCCAGCAGCTGCCTCACGAAGGGCTAGGCATCCCCCCTCCTCCGCTGTGAGAGGAAGAAGACAGCAAAGGTCAGCTCAGGGGAAGGGTACAGGACTGGCCAAGAGGAGCCCAGGATCAGCAGAGGCAGCCAAGGGCAGGTAAGCCCAAAGAGCAGACATGGGGGCTGATGGCTGGCTCAGGGAGTCCAATGCAGGTAACCTGAATTTTGATCACATGATCATGAGGTGCTGCACAAGCATAACTTCAAGGACTGAATGCAACTACCATTCAGTCACTACTGTTGTAACTTCAAAGGGCCCCTGAATGAATGCTTGTTAAGTGAGGACTACCTATATATTACTGTTTTTCTTCCTGTAAAACAAAAAACCCTGTTAAATTTAAACAAAAGCAGGAGCATGAACTTTTCTTTTTTTCTTTTCCGCAGTCCAAGAGCCAACCCAATAATACGACATAGGAGCCATCTAGCTTCAGGTCTGCGAGCTCCTAGAACTTTGCCTTTCATTCTGCCATGGAAGAACTGTAAGTAATGGTGCTGTCTGCATAGTAAACCTTGGATTGTGTACCATAAAGCACTCCCGTGCAGTACAGTGTTTCATATTAAAATCTCGTGGTTTTTCTTAAAAAAACAAAGCCCATAACCTCAGTACAGTATGTCCAATATGGATAAATAGGTAAGAACCTGGGAAGATTTATGTATGCACTTAACCTAAGGTTAATAATACAGTTTATTATTCATTGATAACATCTGATGGAGATATTTATATGCCTGGGCATATAAAGTCATTATTTATAACTGCTATAATGCTACGTAGAACAAACAAGCAGAAGATTGGCAGAACGCATCCACGAACACCAACTAGCAGTCACAAGACATGATGAAAATTCTTTAATTTCACAATATATAGACAGACTTGACCATAGTTTGAATTGGGAAAATATGACCATCCTAGACCAGGCCAAATCCAAAAATGTCAGAGAATTTCTAGAAGCCTGGCACTCTGACAAATCAGCCATCAATAGACACATAGACATTAACAACATCTGTAGACTATGCAAAAGAGACTGTCACCCAGCCCAAAAGAGAGCAAAAAGACCCAAGCACCTCTTCACCAGCAATCAGCACCCAGATCAGTATAGATTAATTCCAAGATTAACCTAAGACCAGCAATCAAGTGAACAATACTCCAATCAAGAAATTTGCCAAAGAGCCAACAGTAAACAGCACAACCAAAGAATCTCTAAGACCACCCCCATTAACACTGACAGGGCAAGCCACCAGAATATAAACTGACAGCAAATGGCACTCCTTACTAGCAGCAGTGGTGCTACCTAGTTTGGGTAATGAAATGTCTGCAAGAAAACAAGCAAGCTGCTGCCACCCAGAATGAAGCTCCAGAGGCATGCAGAAGTCCCCCCCCCCCAAAAAAAAAAACCTCCGTTCCTGGCACAAACAACTAGGAAAATGCCTCCAAGACTTGGATCAGGCCCTTGGAAATTCCGTTCCAGGTGGCGGCAGCTTGGAGCAGTCCTCCGAGGGCTGGATCCAACCTCCATAGGCATGCAGAAACCTCCCCCAGCCTCCGTTCTGGGCCGCTTGGAGGAGGGCTCCAGGGACAACGGGATCACTTTCTCCCCCAGCGCGGTGAGCTCTGGCGGACTGGACGCGGGTGCGAGGGGCCTGGCCTCTCTCAGTTGAAGGCTTCTGGTTTGCTGTCAGGCAGAAAGGAGTTGGGAGCAGGAGACAGGCACCTTTTGCACAGAGAATGAAACTGTCTAAGGTCCGTGATTTGGCGCAACTTCAAACACTCACGCGAGATCATGGACTCCAGAAACTACCATTCTCGGTGCGAAATGCATTTCCAAGCCGACTCTCCTTTCTCTCAAAGGGAAAGAAACCACGGCAGAGAGGATTTTTGCAAGGTAAGTGAGTCCGACACGGTAGGAAGGGAGGGGGAAGCAGTTGTGAGGAGTGGGGGGGAATAGGGTGAATGTTGCAGTGAATGTTGAAGTCACTCATAAGGGCGAACAACTGCCGTGGTGCTGCAATATTCGTAACTTCAGGTGCTCATCATGTAACTTCGAGCAAGCGTTAAGTGAAAGCTCATAACTAGGGGATTACCTGTACAGTAATATACTATCTGTTCACCTTGAGGAGAGGCAGCTGTCTCTGCTAAGGATTAAGGATTGCACCATAGAATTAAGACATGGACCAGCTGCATATGTAACTGATAAGAATATAGGTCAATAAATGTAAGATATGTTTAAAAATACGATTTTACAAGAACAAGCTTAATTTTAATTGTCTTCAGACTGAATGCTTATTACGAAAATCACTCACTGAAATGTGAAAAAAATAAAATTGGTTTTCAAATGAATAGGGTTTCTGTTTATGGGAATTATTCCCCTAGGCAGATAATTAATAAACTTTAAAATTGCTATGCTGCTCAGTTCGTCCCAGTTGATGCAGGAATAGAAGGCAAGTTACTAGTCTTACTGATCTATCCTGAGAAATTGGGAAACTGGCAGTTCTAGTTGCACGTTGGACGTGAAGCCTGCTGGATGATGTTGGGCCAGGAAGCAGGCAACAGCAAGCCACTTTTGAAAAACCTTGCGAAGAAAACTGCAGGGACTCATTTAGGCAGTATCTGAGAATCAGACATGATCAAATGGTAGAAAAAAAGGGGAGGGGGTTAGCAAGAAGCCTTTTCTGCCTAAGACTAACTAGTATGCTTGCACAATATGCTGCCCCCCCCCCCATCAGTGATCTGTTTAAGCCATCTGAGTGGAATCCAAACTTTATGTGGCTGTCATGGGAGAAGAGTTCTGTTTCATTACTGTTGTCTCACTGGACAAGAGAGGGTGCTATTTACCCCTAACTTCTCTGAAACAGCTGCTTTGAAATATAAGTGCTAGAGAAGAAGGGGCATAAATAGTACCTTAACAGTTGTTAGATTTTTAGGATTAATTCCTGTTAAATTTGGTAGGAGAGCAGCTGCACTAAGTTTGGTTTGCAGAGCCTGTCCCTGTTCAGCCGTCATAGTCTGCAACAATCTGGAATATGTTGCATCGTTATTCTTGTCTCTCCTTGGGTGTGAACAAAGGGGAATGACTGTACTAAGATCTTTTTTTTTTTTCTCCCTCCTGTTCTATCCCTGAGGTGACAAAGTGTTTCTTCCAGTTCTAAAGTTTTAGTCAGATATACTAAGGAAGAACACAAAGGTTCCAGAGCTTCTTTTTCCTGGTTATATAGCGTGTGACTAGGTTCATGCAAACTGGGCCTCAGAACAATTAAAACTTTGGTTGCTCCTTGTGTGTGTGCCAGAGATTGTATTCGCAAAAGTAACTTGCAACAAATATTCTCTGGGACATCATTGGTTGGAAATTAAATATAAATAATAAGATTACTTCATAGGAATGCAATTAGTTTCCTCTCCTGACAAATTAAAGATATGTGGCATAAATGCAAAGGTGTCCTTTTACATTTGCCATTTAAACATTGGGATAAGTGAAGACATGGGAGGATTATCTTGGGATTTTTGCTTTTCTGAAAGCAAAAATCTTGCTTTAGACAGTGGTGTCCATTAATCAAATGATTCCAGCCATTAAACACTGGAAGAAGCAAATTATGTGCCGATTGCTTAATAGGTTCCTCCAATTCCTCAGGAGATCAGATGTCAGGCCAATATAAAACTAAAGTAGATTTGGTTCTACAGATGTATGCCACATAAATTACTTTATAAATCAGCTTACTATAGATGAGAGTGGATATATGAAATATGAAAATGTGTTTGGGGAAAAGTAATAATTTTCTTCAGCTTGTAGGTACATGCATATTTGCATATGTGCTGAAGGAAATGAAGGAATAAAAAGATAATTGAGTTCGTAATAAGGATTTTCCATAGGACAATCCTTGAGTAGTTAAAAGAAAAGTGGGGGAGGCTATTCAGCCTAAAGGAAGAATTGAGCTGGGGATATATGTGCAAGAAGTAAGTCTCACTCAATCCTTCAATCTTTTTCTTGTGCTTTTATTGAAAGTTCTCAATTTTTCAGAATACAGCTCCACATGTCTCACTGGTGCAAGGCAGCTTCCCTTTTAGCTGTATAAAGCTAGAGCTTTTACAGTGGAGTGCAGGACAGTGACTTAGCTTGCATAAGCTAGTTAAGGAAATAGTAACAACATTAGCATTTGAGTGTCATTGAAAGTAACTTAAGAGTCACTCTTCACTTTAAAATGCTCCATTAAGCCCAGTGTTTTAGAAGAGCAATCCAAATGTCTCTTCTTTTTCATTAATTTGTCTAATTGAATTATCTGGAGAAGATAAGCATTGGGTGGAGTTATATATCAGATTTTTTCTACATTTTTTTAAGAAAAAGTATGTGTGTTATAGATTATTCTCATCTCATGACAGATAGTTCTGGACTGATGACCATTCATTTACTGATGGCTTGAAGGTATGGCACTGAAAAAAGATGAGTTACGACCGTCGCTCCACCTTGTCCCCAGCAGACAGCAACTGTCATAAACGCGAATCGGTTACCAAGCACCCAAATTGTGATCATGTGATTATGGGAATGGTGCAACGGTTGTAACTTTAAGGACGGATCATAGGACACTTTTTTCAATGCCATCATAGCTCCAAATTGCATAATGTGACTGAACACTGCAACCTGCTGTAACAGTGAACCGGTTGCCAAACACCCAAAATGCAGTCATGCAGCCGCAGGGGTGTGTATACTACTATCAGATCTCTGCAACTGGGTCATAGGTTCCTGGGGGGGGGTTGTCCTAACTTCAAATGATCGCTAAACAAGGGCTATTTTTAATGCTACTATGTAAGTAATGCATCAACCACACAGCATAAAGAATTTAATGGAAAGGCCAGTGTTCTGTTCAAAGCTTTTTATTTGATCACTAGACTAAATGTACAAATAATTTTTTTTTGCATTCTAGTAAGTTATTTTTAAGACTTCTGTTAGATCAAACTTCCCCTCCAGAAGTTTTGACCGATACCACAAAATCTTTTGTCATTAGTTGAGTTTAATGGAAGTTGAAGTCCAAAACATGTAGAAAATAATAGGCAGTCAATGCCTCTGTGTTAGACATTGTGCAACTATCATGAAAGTGCTTTGAAAGATAATGCATAATAGCTAAGGATCAACCATTAATAGCTTTGTTATTTCTAATAGGGAAAATAGATTGATGAAAAAATATTATCAGAAAATAACATAATTGCAGAAATAATTGTTATTCCTTAATATATCATTCAGCTTGATTTTTTTTCAAATATCCTACTGCAACTTAAGGATAACATTTGAGAATTGTAAATGGCCAGATACAGATAAGATCTGATTGTAAAGGACTCCCAGCTAAATATTTCTGTTCTTGCTTATCTTATATTGTGATTTTGCTAAATGCAGATATATACAGTAATTACTTTATGATCACTATATTTCCAGGTTTGTTTTTGTCCTACCTCTATTTCCTATGTTTAATTCTAATTCTACCAGAGAGTGGTAGGTGAGAAATTAGCAGAGAATGTATGGAACTTTCCTACCTCCCAAAAGACTGGGCCTTGAGATTACAGTTATTCTATGACAAATATAAATATTTATGCATTCATTAATTTGATTTATACCCCATCTTTCATCCAGGAACTGAAAGCATGCATAGGACCCTCTCCTATTTTTCCTCAGAACATATCCTTATGAGCAGCTTAGTCTGAGACATTAGTCTGCATTCATTAATTTGATTTATACTCTATCCTTCGTTCAAGGGCTGAAAGGAGCTTGCATAACACCCTCTCCTATTTTCCCCAGAATAATAATCTTATAAATAACTTAGTCAGAGACATTGTTACCCATTGAGCTTCCTTTGGCAGGGATGGGTTTGAGCTGGGTGCTCTCTATTCAACTTCCAATATCTGAACTACTGTGCCACACTAGGCCAAATAGGGGAGAGCTACATCCAAACAATTTTCTTGAGTGCTTTAACCATTGCTTCAAACTGTAGCTTAGAAAGACTCTTCTAGGAATGCATTTATCAACCTGGAGTTAAGTCAAACAATGGTTTGACAGAACTTGGTTTGTTCAAATGGATTGCAAAAGTCTCAACAAATTTCCAGCTTTTTGGATAGCTTTACAAAAAACCCTATTAACTCTAGACCATTGCCTGTGGATAAGACACATTCTGTGTTTCCTCCTCATTCTGGTTAAGACACTTTGTTTGTCCTGCCTATCTTTGTAAGCATGCTAACCGTAAAGAATTGGTAATGTTTTCTTGAGGTAATGGTTACTATGGGGCCAACAAACTGGTTTGCCTGACACTTCTCACATCTGGATTGTCATAGCTTCTATTTTGAGATCTAAAATTGCTTGTTTTTAATTTAATTGCAGATGCTGAAAATTGAAGGCCATGGCAAAAACTGTTCCTTCCATTGGCTCTCAAGTATTCATTATCTACTCTTAGAAAGATTGAAATGCCAGCAAAGACACTGATGCCAAGCTGTTTTCCTGTTTGAGGTTATAAAACTAAAAGAATTCAGGCTCTTAACTGCATGTGTGCCAGTTAACAATATAGTTGCCAACAGCGTGTTGTTTAATTGTTATTATGGATATAGAAGCTCACTCCTAAAAGGCTAGTAAAACAAAGGAACTTGGTGTAAAAGCAAGGAAGAAGAGTAGGAGAAATTTCCAGACAATGAAAATCGTTTACTGTAGGATTGAGGACTCTATAGCTTTCTAGATGTTGAGGTATAATTCCTAACATTCCTTGTCATTGACAATGCCAGCTGCAGTTCCCAGAAATTGGAATCCAGCAACATTTGGAAAACCACATATTTTCTACCCCAGTTAAATGCCTTGATATGGTGAGTCATGATTCATCCCCATTTCCAAGATAGCACACAAACAAATCTGTTTCTTAGCACACAAACAAATCTGATGGTACAATTCTGAGTTAGTTAGTTTTCTGATTTATGACATATTGTTGGTCCGTGCTTTTTGTTAGCTTATTTTATAGAGTCAGGGAGCACTGCAGAGTCGCCTTATAGGGGAGATGGGCAGCATAAAAAATAAAATTGTTTTACTTGTATTCTTTACACCTTTGTAGATGTAAAAAGCTGTATTTTGGTATATTCAGATATATTTTGACAAATGTGATGGCCCCTCTTACAAATTTTGGGATTTGTATTTGAAGGGAAATGATAACATCAGTTGCTTGAATAAAGATTTACAGTTTATTTGAAGAAATTCTTCATCAACTTACTGTGGCTAAACCCAAATAACAAATGTATTATTATTTAGGAAGATTGTAATTTTTTGTGTTAATACAATCATTTTAGAAGCCGAAGAGCAGTTACTTCAGTTACTAGTAGAATTTCTTGATCCCTTTTTCTGACTGTTTCTGCAAAAATGTTTACTGTGCAGCTCAGTTTAAAGGTTTTACTAAAACAGTTCTTAGTAATTAAGTTGTGTCTTAATTTTATGAGAAACAGATAATGCCGGAAGACAACCATTTGATGTGGATGAGGGGTTACCTCGTAGCTCTCTCAGGAGTATTCCAGTCCCACTGTTATTTACTTTGCTGTCTCTGGGCATTACCACAAGTAGGAATAAGAACAGAGTTCATTTCTTTTGGTGTGTGAAATAGGATTTGGTAGCCTACTGAATTTGCTAATTGCTATTAGAGCATGCAAGGCTGCACTGCAGAGCCACTCCATATATTATTAAGTGTCTTTCTTCAGGGTCTCACTGTGCCTATGGAGAGTAGCCATGGAACCCTGGAAAAATACACAGATACTTTAACCAATTCTGGGGAAGAGCTATACAAACATCCCAACCCAGTCTGGGGTTCTCTACTTTCAAAGTGCTGCACAGCTATGGAGTCAAATATATCAAGAGATTTGGACTTGGAGAGCTTGTTCTTTGAAACTCAAAACTGTCTTCCAACAAACATTAACCTAATGAAAGATGTTGATATTTATTTTATATTAATGCAGTAGAAGCAACCTCTATTACCTTAAAATGTTTATATCCCCAACAGTGTCTGCAGCAAACCACAGTGTTATCGAAAGTTTACAATTTACAAGTGACAAAATCGTAAGTGACTGGCTGATGCAAGTATGTAAATTATAGCACCATCAACCCTGGCGATCAATGGGTTGACAGATGCCACAGCCAGATCACCCTCATATCCAAATTATAGCACTTGTATGATTACATCATCTCTGAACATATTACTTGCCCCTCCCTTTGCATGAATATTTATTTGAGTTTTACCTCAGCTTTATTACTTGATTAATTGATTGATTGAGTCTTATGACCATATAAAAATCCACATTACAGAATCGAATTTCAGGACAAAATAGTTAAAAAGAAAATACGGTAATAAAAGACGTATGTGGTAAATACAAGGAATCAATGTTCAGATAAACACATCAACTTCACAGGACATTTCAATCGGTTCTTAGCTCAACTGCCTTAACTATAAACTTAGAACTTATATTGTTATTATTTTATAAGTAACTCAAGGCAGTGAACATAACACTCCTGCTATTTTCCCCACAACAACAACCTAACAGGTGGGCTGAGCTCAGTACAATGGGCCCAAAGTCACCCAGCTGGCTTTCATATCTAGGTAGGACTAGAACTCACAGTCTCCTGGTTTCCAGGCCAGCAGTTGCAAATGAAACTACCTCTCCTCCTCCCCTTCTGGGTCATGATTTTCCAAATCCAGAATTTAAATGTGAAAATTCTTTGAATGTAAGTGATAATTATGTACCATAGTCTTGCTTGTGAAGAGGCCTTTCTTTTTGTATTTCTTTTTGAATAAAATAACCCCCAACATTTTAGATATACCGTATAAACATTTATTTGGAGAAAGGAAAAAACAAGGTAAGTAAACGACAAGCTATTGTATTCCAAATCCAGGTCAAAGTTAGTAATATTTTAACTGCTTGTACAGACTTTTTGGGTTTCTAAACAAACTGCAGAGATAGCTGATAAAACTTTCTATCCCAGCTTTATTATTTTTACAAAAATGTGGTGAACATACTTAATACTCCCCATAACAGCAACCATGTGAGATATGTTGGATTGAGAGAGTGACTGGCCCAGCCAGTTTTCAGGATGCTATTAGTTGGACTCTTCATATAAATCTTCACCATTCCTTAGCAGAAAGGTATATTTGTTGCCTGCCTAAAATGATTTATGCCATCCGTTTTATCAGAAGTCTACCCAGCAATTACAACATTTCTTAAGTGGGCCAGGTCCTTCTAAGCAAGCCTTTATGTGAATTAGCCGATAAAAATTGGACAGGCTATTGTACAAAGGAGTTGTGTATTGAGAAGACACTGCGAATTTTAGTTTGTCAAGCTTTCCATTTTGGGAAACGGTCTGTCAAGCTTTAAATGCATGTCAGGGTTTGTCACAAAATAATACCTCAGTGTCATGTGACACTGGAGAGGCTTAAAAGACCAGTTGTAATTCCAAGGATACTTAGCTTCATTTAGACAGATGGTGGTAAGCTTTTTTAAATATACAAGTTCTGTTGTCCTGCTGGAATGTTTCATATCACTGGAACGTCACCTGTAAATCAGCCTTTGTTAATAGGTCCAATTTTTTTTATGCTCCTTTGTGCCACCGTCTTGTAACTGCTACTCAGTTTATAGCTTTTACAAGATACTAATTTGTTAAAGCATCAGTAGAAAATCCATTGGTAACTTCACACTCGTAATTTGCTGAAGAATAAAACAATGGGAACTGTCATCATTGAGAACACAGATGATTAAGTCATTTGGGTGACCTTTGGAAAAGAAAAATGTCCAAGTCTGTCAGGCTCAGTTGAAAATATTAATTATACCTTTCTTTTTAGATAATAATTCTAAATTTTAAAAATGTGGAAATCTTCCTGATGGAACATTGGAGAAGTAATTAATGGATTGAAACCTCAGTGTTCAATTTCCATCCATATATTCTGAGTACCACTCGCTTCTAATAATTTAGAAACTTTATTGGAAATATGGGACTTTAGATAGTATCTTAACTCAGATAGTTTAACATTCTGTAATTGTTTATTCAACAATGCATTGACTGTTCATATGAACATTGCTATTGGAATAACATGTATTTCTGCAGTGATAAGTTCTAGGGCATGGCATTTTAGTAAAAAATCATATTCAACTAGAAAAAAATACTCAATTTTAGCAAAAAAAATATTTTTTGAAAATGTAAACCAATAGCAAAGGCTGAAGACCCTATTTTTGTTGGTTTTTCATTTATTTAATTATACATGATCCTCTTCTCTGTTCCTTAAAAGAAGCAGAGGATGGAAGAGCCTGAGTGGGAATGAAAATATAGATCTTTCTCCTTTTTCTGTCAGAGATAGGAAGTAGTAATGTTTTATTATGTACTGTGACTTGGTTGAAACTGGATGTCTCCAAAATGCTGAGTGTAGGTCATAGATCTTTCTCACAAAATGCTTGCCACAAGAAGAGAAAGATGAAGTAACTTCACATTCACCCTTTTTACAGTGCCGTCTCATCCCAATTTACTTTTGATTTAATTTACAACTTCACATTTTTACTTTCTGGAAATGCCAATAACACCTCTCTCATCCTTGACAGCAAGTCCTTGACTTACAACTGCTCCCTTAGCGACAGTAATGACAGACCCCGAAAAAGGAACATACAACATGATTTGAAGTTCTGGTGTCCACCATCCCCCCCCCCCCCATGGTCATGTAACCACATTTTGGATGCTCAACAACAGACCCATATTTATGGACCTTTGCAAGATTCTCACAATCACATGACTGATTTACAATGTTGTTTTTCCAGAAACCAGTATTCTTGTTTCCAGTAAAAAAAAACCACCCCATAGTAAATAATGGGTTCACTTAACAACTACCATATTTGCTTTATGACCGCCATGTTAATGATCATTGGGAAAAAAAGTTACAAAATTGCACACGTTCACATGATGACTTGCTTTGTGATCATCTCAACTCATAACTGAAATTGTGGGGCCAATTACAGTCATAAATTGAGGACTATTTGTATGGATGAGAGGGCTGACCAGACTCCACACATCCACTTCATGGTCTGTTTCTGTTGCTCCCTTCCAGGAGGAGGTTTCAAAGTATTTATAACAGAACTAGATTTTGTAACAGCTTTGTTCCTTATGCCATCCGTCTTATAAATTCACAGGATTTTTTTTCCCGCCATGTATACATTCGAACTAGACTGATGTTTCTCTGTGTCATATGTAGGTATATGCATAATGCAATGAAATTTCATTTTAACGTATGCTGATTAGTGTACATTTAAAGTGACAATCTTCTATCTTACCCTATCCTATCCATAACTCTGAGATCTGAGTTGAAGAAGGATATGGGAGTGGAATTATTCTCTTCCAGTCTTAGTCTTGCTGGATGCTATGCAATCCACCAAAACAGGTTTCTTACTCTCTCCAGATATTCTGTCCATTGAATGCCAGTCTACAGCATTTATGTCTTGAGTATCTGGGGGGGGGGGGACAGGATTTTCCTTAACACAAAAAATGCTAAGGGATGTTTCTTGTCAATTATCGTTCTACCCCATTTTTGTGTGTGAACAAATTGCCAGTGCAAGTGTATTACCACGTCTAATGTATTTTTTTAAAATGACCATTGTCAAGAAGGAAATCCCTGAAACTTGCTTTTCATCTCCTTCCTGAGTCTAATTTAAGCAACCCACCTTTGCAGGATAATAAAAGGAATTGTATTCCACAATACTTCATGTCACAAGAATTCAATTCTGTGATTTAGGTAGTCTCACTTTTGTAAAAGTCCCATTTATCTTAAGAGCATGTTTATATGGGAAACTATCCCATATAGAGATAGTGGCTGTCCCAGAGAGCCAACTAGCACTGGCTAAGTCCATTAACTTTTTTTTCTTTTTTGCAAGAGGATCTTTCCAACGTCTTGTGCAATTTTATAGAAATGAGTTAATTTTAAGTAGCATTCTACAGCTGTGGAGTTACAAAGGGATTGTGAGTAAATATAGTCAGGACTCCTTTGGATAAATATTTCTCAATTTAAATACAGACCAAATTTTGCACTATAATTATTTTTCTATCTATATTCTGAATAAATAGGCAGGGATACTTTTGCCAAGACTTTCATTTGTGGAGCTATATGTGGGCTTTGTTTAATATGAGAGTCCTATATATTACAAATCTCACCTCTACTGATTGATTCTTACACTCA